TTTTCCATTTCTCTATGCATGCCATTTAAAAATAAAATAAGCTGTATAAACCCAAAACAAATTATGTTTACAAGAACGGAATTTATTATGCCTTCTGGCATTACGCTCTTACTCGCTTTAGAACAACCTTTTTCTCAAAAGGGCTTGACCCACAGGATAGCAAACTACTGATAAAGTGTACACTCTGACCCAGTCCAAACAACAACCGAGATGCTCAAGTTTTCCAGACTCTTTATTATTTGCAATGTCGGCCTAAAAATACAGGTCTGGGGGCATGCACATACACAGAGAACAAATAACATTTATTGAGCATTCACTATATGCCAGGCACTCTGCTATGCACTTTAGACATATTACCTCATGGAATCTCTAATCAATCCTTATTCCCATTTGAAAGATGGGGGGACTGAGGCTTAGCAAGGTTACATGGCTAATATATGGTGGAATGGGGACCAGAACCCAGATCTGATTTGACACTGAAGCCTGCGCTCCTGACACTTCTTCACACAGCTTTAGGATTAATCATTCACCCAGACACCTGCAAAATCATCCCCAAATCGCTCTTGGCCATGGGGCTGTTCATGCTGTCCTGAACTCTCTCTACCCAACAAGAAGAAAAAAGGCCCTTTAAGGCTTTTGGCTGGAGTTCCATTCTCCCCAAATGAGGCGAAGGGGGAGGAGTTGTGTTCTTCACTTCCACCGTAAAACTTAAAGAAAACTTTTTACACTCTGCGCCACCCATCTCTTCTAAGGCTTCCATCTCAACACAGCAACAGGTAAAAAAGACAGGGGGAAGTAAACTACCACAAACCACGCAAGGATCAAGGGCCTCTGATTTCTCCCTGTAGCGAAAGCTGCCCCGCACCATCTAAATTCTTCCACAAGGAACTGGAGTAAAAAAGCTCCAAAGCACACACACTTCGTATAGTTTTGTTACCCCAAAGCTCCCTAGCACGGACGGCGTCCGCTCCAGGGAGTGAGTTCTCCCAGAGGCCCGAAGCACCACGGCGCTGGTTACCGTTTACCGTTATCACTACATCCCCGGTCCTGCCCCGGGCGCTCCTGAACCTCGAGCCCGGTGACCTCCCTCTCCGGAGCGGGGGGAGGCTGCACCGCCCAAGGGCTGGAGCTCGGACGGGGCCGGCGGGCATCGCCTGCACCCCTGCAGTCGCCAGTCAGAGCCCAAACGCACTGACGGGGCTGCCTGAACTGCAGGACCCGCCCGCCGGCTCGGAGGGGTCCACGGGGGCCCGGCCCGAGGCTGAG